GGGGTCCATCCGTGCCCCCGACCCTCGAAGGGTAGTGAAGATGCCATACCCGAAGCGCTCCCAGCTACCTCCTGATGCCTGCGTGTGTGCGCGTCACCCTGCCTCCAGGACGTGACTCCTGTGTCCCCCGGCTCTGCCCCACTCGGGCCACCAGGGCTGGGTCCTGTTCTTCGGAAGCGGTGCGCGAAGCCCAGTGCCCTGCCTGCGGAGGAAGGGGCGCGGCAGGGTCACAGAGAGGACACTGCTCCACCACCACCTCCAGCTCCCTGGCGCCCTCGACCCCCCTGCTAGGCACCGTGTCATTTCTTTGTCCTCGGAATTGGCCTCATCGCGACCTTTCCCCACCACCACCCCTCCCTCAGCTGCACTCCTCCCCAGCGCCCCTCGAAGCTGGTGGCCGTGACCTCCCCAGGAGGCCGGGCGAGACAGGGGGAGCCAGCCGGAGCCCCAGGGCACGGAAGGCCTAGGGCCCAGATGGCAGATTGCAGCCCTGGTGGCCATGGTATTTTTATGGGCATGCCTGTTACCCAGTGAACCATTCCTGGGCCCTCCACTCAGTCTCCAAGTGGCTTGAGGTCCTTTTCCCAAGGCACCTGAGCACCTGGCTCTGGCAGCACACTGCCTGACACCCCACTCCCACAGGGTTGAGTACCCAGCGGTCAGGGGTCTTTAGGAGGGAGTGGACTCCTATTATTTCCAGAGTCAGCAGCCAAGACTGAGCCTGCCTGGGTGGCGGGGCCAAGGAGCCCAGGGGCTTCCAGCCTGTGCCAGTTGGCACCCGGATTACCCCATCCACCTGCAGCACTGTCAGCTGTCCCCCAAGCCCTCCACCTAATCAAGGTTGGGTGGTGAGCATGCTGGTGACATTGACCAAAGGGTACGGAGCCCATGTGGTATGCCCCTGAGAGTGCTCCAAGATGGGTGCCACCTCTGTTTAAGGTAAAACATTGTTAGCCAGAAAAGACTCCGGGTGAGGAGCAGAAGTCCCTGTGGCGACCACATGTAGAAAAGTACTTGGCTTATGGACCTGGATGTCACCTGGGCACTGACATTTGTTGTGACATTTGCTACCTTCAGCAAGGTGGGGGACCGAGGCCAGCAGTGGAATCCTTGAGTTCAAGGGGAAACCAGCGTGTGCCATCCCAGGAGCCTCCTAGGGGCGCTGCAGGAGCATAGCTTTTCGGCCATGCCAGTCTCACACCTGGCCTCTGAATTAGAGGCTGAGAACAGGCGACAGCCAATCGGTCCGCAGGTGGCGTGAATTTGGTCCGCAGGTGGCGTGAATTTGGTCCGCAGGTCCAAAAACTCTGCTCTGCCTTCCTTCAAGAAATGATGCAACCCTCACTCCTTTGTATTTATTTACTTGTTTTTGAGTTTTGGTATGCGGCCTGGGCTGGGTTTGAACTTGAAGCGAACCTCCTGCCTCAGCCTTCCAAGTGCTAGGATGACAGGCATGTGTTGCTACACCAGGCTGTATCATACTGTTTTTTGTTTGTTTTGACTTTTTGAGACAGGGTCTCTCTGTGCAGTTCAGGCTGGCCTTGAGCTCACTTTGTAGCCCAGGCTGTTTTTGAACTCACCATAATCTTCCTGCGTCAGTCTCCGAGTGCTGGGATTACAGGTGTGCACCCCACACCCTGCTATATCATATTGTTTTAATGACAAGCAAGTTGCAAGCCTGCCCAGGTGCCTAAATCTTGGTAGGGGGTGGCAAGGTTCCAGAGGAGTAGGTGGGGTGGGGTGGGAGATCCTGAAAAACACAATCTGCTGCTGGGCCAGTCGAAAGGCAGATGGGCAGGCTAGACAGCATAGCTCTGCTGTTTAAAAGAAGCGGTCTGAAGCAGAGTGGTACAGGCACACTGAAAGGAGATGCAGACGGCAATGAGCCAAGCAGACCCGTCCTCTGAAAGTGGGCAGAGCCAGGCATGGTGGCAAGTGCCTGCAATCCCAGCACTCGGAAGGCTGAGGCAGGAAGATTGCTGAGTTTGAGGCCAGCCTACACTGCACAGTAAGTTCACGGCCAACCAGCTACATAGTGAGACCCTATTTCAAAAAACAACACTCAGGAGGCTGAGGCAGGAGAACTGTGCTAAGCTCAAGGCTTTCTTGGGCTACACTACTGAAATGCTGTCCCAATAAACCAAAAGTTAAGAAAATAAAACAAAGTAAATTAGACTTCATCAAAACCAAAACCCTGCTTTTTTCTTTCTTGCTACTGGGATTGAACCTGGAGGTGAGTTGCATCCCTAACTCTTCCTTTCTTTTTAAATTTTGCGGCGGGTCTCATGAAGCTGCCCAGGCTGTCCTGAACGTTGTGGTTTTCCTGCCTCAGCCTTCTGACTGCCTAAAATCACAAGCCTGCAATGAGAGACTAGCTCAAAAACAGTCTTTTTTAAGAGACGGGAAAATGTAAAGGCAAGCTACTGACCAGAAGGGAAGATGCCACACAATGTGAGCGCTCTCTAAAGGGCTTGCATTCAAACTATGTATATGTAACAGCACCTAAAATTGAGAAGACTTTCTTAAAGACTGCTGAAAGATCTGTTTGGAGTGTTGGGGAGGCAACGCAGGGCCTCGTGGATGCCCGGCAAGTCCTCTACCAGTGAGCTGGCCGGGAGCAAACTGGCCAAGGGTCTCCCCGGCCACTTCACCACAAGACACACCAAGGGCAGAGTTCCATGAAGAGATGCTCAATATCATCAGGTCTGAGACACGTGCAAATTACAGTCCCGGCAAAACGTCACTAAAATTGTTAAAATTAATGAGACTAGAGCCCGGTGTGGTAGTGCACAGCTGTCATCCCAGCGCTCGCGGAGGCTGAGGCAGGAGGGTTGTCGGGAAGTCAAGGCTAGCCTGGACTGCACAGTGAGACCTTGACTTGAACAAACAGCAGCAACGAAATGGAAGGAAGTGGTGCGAACCCTCCGAAGGCTGCACAGACCTGGCGGAGCAAGGGAGCTCCCTCCGGCTGCTGGGGATGAGCGGTCCACTGACTCCAGAAAGCAATTCAACAGGTTTCTTTTCTTCCCTCTTTCTTTGAGACCACAGACTCTCAAGCCTCCTGTGTCAGCCTCTGGAGTGCTGGGATTACAAGTATGTGCCCCCAAGCTGAGCTGTGAGACCATAAAGTGAAACAAATGACACACATTTAACTTCATGTGGTGTTGAGTGAGAAATCCAAATTATAAATATGGAGCAAAATACAAAATAGGTAATAGGAGAGGGAAAGAGATGTTTTCCGTATATGGACCAGCTCCCGGTGAGGAACGGGGTCCTCATGCACTCATGCAGACGCCTCTCCCCAGGGCCACCCACTCTGCTCCCTCCAGAGTGAACTTTGATCTCCCTTTCCTTCACTTGGCCCAAACTCACTCTGCAGAGCCAGCTTCTCCCTGACTCTTCACTTTTACTTTTTCTAATAAAATTTGCCACTGCTAAAAACAATTTAAAAAAGAAACTTTTTAGGGCCAGTGATATACTTCAGTGGCACAAGCTCCTGCCTGGCAAGTGCAAGGTCATGAGTTTGAGTCCCAGTACTCCCCCAAAATTTCACCAGGTGCGGTGGTGCATGTCTCTCATCCCAGAACTGTAGGAGGCTGAGATAAGAGGACTGCAAGTTCAAGCCCAGCCTGGGTAACTTAGAGAGACCTTGTCTCAAAGTATAAATTTAAAAATAAGGGGACGTGGGGCTGAGGATTTAGCTCAGGAGCTCAAGCGCTTGCTTGGTAAGTGCAAGGTTGTGAGTTCAATCCTAAGTACCAAAAAACAGACAAACAAACCCAGGGGGCCTAGGGATGTAGCTCAGTGGGCAGCCCTGGGTCCACTCCCCAGTGCCAGGAAGGAAGGGAGGAAGGGAGGAGGAAGTAAGCAGGCCTGGGGCCAGCCTTCTCCAAGCTGCCTCTCCGGCGGCACCCTAGGGTGCTTGCTCGGGGTAAGGAAAGATCTAGAGACCTTTGTTGTCCTTGTCCTTGTGCCACTGCTCGTGGAAGTGGAGGTGGCAAGCAGAGACACACGGAGTGGGTGCTCAAGGCTTGGCCAGGCTGTGTTCTTCCATCTCTGCCCGGGGAGAGGTGCCTGTGTATGACAAAATGTCCCCTTGGTACCGAGGGCCCAGAAGCCACCCAGGCCTGGCCCATAGGGAAGAAAGGAAGACAATGTCACACAGGCTAGGACATTTCCCAAGAGCTGTTGTGCCGTCCTCAGTCCATGTGGCTGGGCTAGGTGCCTGGTACAGTGTCAGGTGCTAGGGTCAGGCCGCACACACCCCATGCATGCATGACTGTGCCGCAGCCCAGGCGGAGTGCTGAGCCTCTGCCCTGATCTGCACCCCACTGTCTGCAGCAGCCCAGGTTGTGCCAGAACACAGACAGGAGCAGAGCCTGCTTCAGGCCCCTGGCAAAAAGCAGACTGCCGGAGCGGGGTGGGGGGGACACGACAGGCTGGAAGAGGGGACCAGAGAGCTGGCAGTGGGTGGGCATCTGTCTAGAGCAGGGGTGGCCATCTGGGGGCTCTGGCCATGTCTTGTAAATGGGGCACAGCTAGGTGAGCATATGGAGGTCCAGCTGGGTCACAGCAGGTTGGGGAGGAATAAAAGGGTGGGGTGACCTCGGCTCCCACAGGACCCTGAAGGGGAAGCCACTCTTGCTGGGGTGCCTAAAGTGTGGGGGGCACCTGGCTTTGACTGCGAGGAGGGGGGAGGAAGAGCCCAGCTCTGCCACCACTTTTTCCAGTCACAGCTGAGGTGCCATGGGGCAAAGTGACCTCCAGCACCCAAGTCCCAGGAAACAGAAGCAGACGTCCAGGAAGCAGCCAGGGACAGGGCGGGCCCAGCAGGAGACTGGCTGAGGCAGGTTGAGGGCCCAACAGTGGGGATCGGGAAGCCCAGGGACAGGAAGGAAAACCGGAGTCTACTTCCTGGTGTTGATGGCTGTGGTAGTGGTGAAAGGGGGTGGGGGTGGGGTGTTGCTGGGAGAGGGGGAGGAAGTGTGGGCCGGGCGGGGCGGGGCGGGGCGGGGTGGCCCAGCGATGGAGAGCAGACCTGGTCAGTCGCCTGGGCCACCTTCACACTGCCGCCCCACTGCCCCGGAGCGGGAGCTCAGCCAGGTAAGCTGCTTGGAGCGCTCTGCGTGCTCACCAGGCTCCTCTTGCCGGGTTCCCAACTCCTGGCCAGTCCAGGTCCCCCATGCCACCTAGATGCCCCCAGGCCCCAGTCTGACTGTGCCCCTCACCTCCTCTGCCCAGAACTGGCCCCAGACTGGACACCATCCCACACGCACACCTGACAGGTGCCTGCACCCTGGCGCCTCCCTAAGGGTCCCTGTGCTGAGACCCTGGGCCACCAGGCTGGCCCTACGTTTGCTGTCATCAGACTCTGAGGACACCTGTGGCCACCTCATTATGCTCTCTGCGACCACCACCTCTGGTAAGGCGGGATGAGCCCTCCTGTGGTGGGGGAGGGCTTTGGGGGTGGAGGCTGTCCTTGACTCCCACAGATTCCCGCAGCGGGACTTCCTCAGGGGGTCCCCCTGTTGAAGCCAGAAGTGGGCGGCAGGGTGTTGATGGTACCATTGGAGCCAGGGACCTCTTCCTTGTGCCCTCACTAACTTGGCCTCTCTCTCGCCCAGTGGCACCCAGGCCCCTCTCCCTGCCCAGCAACAGCAGCCAGGAACAGCCCCTAGATGCCCGGGACCCACTGCTTGCGCGGGCCGAGCTGGCCCTGCTCTCCACCGTCTTTGTGGCTGTGGCTGTGGGCAATGGCCTGGTTCTGGGGGCCCTGGTGAGGCAAGGCCGGCACGGACGCTGGGCACCCATGCACGTCTTCATCGGCCACTTGTGCCTGGCTGACCTGGTGGTGGCTCTGTTTCAAGTGCTGCCCCAGCTGGCCTGGGATGCCACCGACCGCTTCCACGGGCCTGACGCCCTGTGCCGGGCCGTCAAGTACCTGCAGATGGTGGGCATGTACGCCTCCTCCTACATGATCCTGGCCATGACGCTGGACCGGCACCGTGCCATCTGCCGCCCCATGCTGGCCTACCGCCACGGGGGCGGGGCTCGCTGGAACCGGCCAGTGCTGGTGGCCTGGGCCTTCTCGTTGCTTCTTAGCCTGCCACAGCTCTTCATCTTTGCCCGGCGTGACGTGGGGGATGGCAGTGGGGTCTTCGACTGCTGGGCACGCTTTGCAGAGCCCTGGGGACTCCGTGCCTATGTCACCTGGATCACACTGATGGTGTTTGTGGCGCCAGCCCTGGGCATCGCCGCCTGCCAAGTTCTCATCTTCCGAGAGATGCATGCCAGCCTGGTGCCTGCTCCGTCCAAGAGGGGGTGCCGCAGAGGGCGCCAGCCAGGCAGTGCCAGAGAAGGCGCACGCGTGTCAGCGGCCATGGCCAAGACCGTGAGGATGACGCTGGTGATCGTCATCGTCTACGTGCTGTGCTGGGCGCCCTTCTTCCTCGTGCAGCTGTGGGCAGCATGGGACCCCCAGGCGCCTAGGGAAAGTGTGTGTGGCCGTCCACGGGGGCTGCTCGGGCATGGCCACCCACATCAGGCACCCTGACCCCAGCCGGGCTCTCCCACCCCACAGGACCCCCCTTCGTGCTGCTCATGCTACTTGCAAGCCTCAACAGCTGCACCAACCCCTGGATCTACGCGTCCTTCAGCAGCAGCGTGTCATCGGAGCTGCGCGGCCTGCTCTGCTGCGTGAGGGGCCGCACCCCATCCGGCCTGGGGCCCCAGGATGAGTCCTGCACCACTGCCAGCTCTTACCTGGCCAGGGAAGCTTTCTCCTGAGGGCCAGGGGCTGCTGTACTCCCGGGCTCCCAAAGCTCAGCCGCCTGCCTGGGGCTGGCCCCCGAGCCCTGCTGCTGCCGCACAGGATGGCCCTGGCTGCGCCCCCTTTGGCCTCACTGTCCCCAAGCGCACAAGGAGGCCATGGGGCTCCAAGACTGTGAGGGGCTGCTTAGGTAAGCCCCTTTGTGCAGGGTGTGGGGACAGACAGTCCCAGGCCACAAGTGACAAGGGCAAACGCTCCCAGGTGACATGGAGGTTCGAAGGAGCCAGATGGGGAAGACCTCTCTGCCTGGACCTCCTTAGGCCCTTCCGTTTCTCTGCCCCTCATTAAAATTCCAGTTCGTTTTCCATACTGCAAGGCGTGTCCTGGGAACAAGGTACCACGCGCCCACACTGAGCCCATGTGCACCTGGCCGTGGAACCATGATGTAGGCTGCCAAGGCTTCTGAGGGCAGGTCCCCAAGAGGCACAGCTCCCGACGGACAGCTCAAGGCAGGGGACCCGGAGGAAGCCCTTCCGGCCGCCCACCTGCCTACTGCCTCAGCACATGGCCTCCAGCAGAACTGACACAGACAACAGCCGCTCAGGAAATGGCACACAGGGCTTTATGAGTCACACGGGACCCCACGGGCTGGCCCTGAGCAGAGCTGGGGGTGAGGAGAAGCAGGGGACCCATGGAGAGTGGACAGCCCCGGGGCCCCCTCCCTCACTGTGGCTTGGGGGCCAAGTCTGGGCCCTGTAGATTCAAGAAGGTGGGGAAACCTGGGCCTGAAGGCCCACGGGCAAAGCCTTTGTTCCTGCCAAGCACACCGCCACCCCCACCCCCACCCCCACCCGGGGACTTCGGGCTTCGTGGCCCAGGGCTGGCGGCGGTCGCCTGGCGCATGGTGGCCTTTCCCAAGAGCTCCTTAAACACTGAGTCCATGTTCTGCGTCACAGCCTGGTGGGACGTTGAGCACAGAGGTATTGGGTCATGGCGCTGCTCCTGTAGCCCTGATGGACCCTGTGGCCCATTCCTGGGCTCCCCGCTCTGCACTTCCTGCACTGGTCCTTCCTGCCAGTGTGAGGAGGTGGCCAGCAGTTCCTGGGTATGGCCCTGAAGCGGGGTCTGGCTGGCTGGGCCCTGGGCCTCCCATCCCCTCCCTCTCCTGGTACAGGTGGCCGACTCTGTCTGTGATCTTTAGGGTTACCAGCATGCTGGGGACTCCCTGATCAATGTCCCCCTCTGGTCGCAACCCAGCCCCCACCATTCTTGGCTATCAGGCTCCTGGCCTTGCATGTCCATCCTGCCTGTCCCACGCTCTCTAGGCTGGGGTGTCAGGCCACAATGGGACAGCAGCACAACCTTGCATGCCCTTTCTTAGGCTACATAACTGTCCCCAGGGTTTCCCTCCTGATAGGGGCAGAGCCCCTCCACATGCCCACTCTGCTTCCCTGGCCAGCGCCCGCCCCCCTCCCCCCCCCCGCCATCTGTCTCTCTCACCCTCCCTGGTGTGCCAAGCACCTGCTAGGTCACTGCCTGTCATTTAGCCTGGCTTTCACTACCAGGTGCTCCTGTCCTGTGCCAGCCGAGAGTCTGGGCTCATGCCTGCTATTTGCCCTAGTCCTCCTGGGCATGGTAGCCCTGGACTGCAGCTACCACAGAGAACAGGCAGTGGCCTTCCTAGAGGAGTGGACAGCTGGCTTCGCAAGGGGACACAGGAACAGTGCCTCACCTTGTCCACTTCCACATGTCGCTCTGGGGACGTTGGCACCAAGCAGTGTCGTCCATGGCCAGAGGGGCCCACAGTCTCAGGTGGGGCACCCGGCTCCATCCTGCAGGGTAGGGGCACTGAGCCCAATGGGACCCTGGGCAGCACCTCCCTTCCTGGGGCTGACCCCCCTGTCTGCTGCCTGAGGAATGAGGGGAGCCATCTTGTGCTTGCCCAGCCCTGGGCCACCGGCAAGGCCAGGAGGTTCTCTGAGGGGCTTGCGGGGCGGGCGGGGAGTGCAGCACTCCAGGGTTGAGCACCTTAGGGTGACCTTGTGTGGCCCCCACACTTGGGGGCCTCGCTCACCCCTCAAGCAACGTGATGTACTTGTGTGGGATGAGCCCCCGAATGCTGCCGTGCTCTCCACGCCACCAGTCACTCGAGGCACGAGAGTGTAGCCTCAGCACATCCCCACGCTGGAAGCTCAGCTCCTGCACGGTGCGGCCTGTGTACCCAAAGCAGGCCACAGCCTCTACTGTGCCTTCGGGGTCTGTGGAGGAGAGAGGGTGCAGGTGGGTGGTGCAGTCACCAGGGAGCGGGGCGTGGCAGGCCCCACCGCCCCTCACCATCCTCCTGGGCCGAGGGGGCGCCTTCTGGCTCCAGCTCAGTATCTCCCGTGAGGCTGTTCAAATGTGCATCCCTGAGGCAAGAGCAGGGAGAGGGTGAAGGGCCCCTCCACTCCTTCCCCGGCCCCCAGGCCCCCCGGAGCTGGAGCAGAGTGGAGCGCACCCCAGGCAGCCGGCAGCGGGAGGTGCCATGCACTTCTCATAGACCGGGCCGGGCAGCAAGGCTGGCGCCGGGAAGACCTGCGCGGGTTGCAGGATGAGCGTCTGCACCAGCTGGTTGACACGGCCCTGCAGGGCCACCGGGTCCTGCCCACTGGGAACAGGCAGCAGCGTAGGCCCGAAGCACACAGCCAGGTTGTAGGGGTCCATCATGTTCTCATCGCTGTACTGGGCCAGGCTAGGAGGACAGGCGGGGGGGAGGTGGATGGGTGCTCTCGTCATGTCCCCCACCCCCTGCCCCGTCCCGTCCCCATGGCACTCACTGGTTGAGGAAAGTGAAGAGGTAGCGCAGCACCACCAGCACCGGGTCAGGCAGCCGTGCCAGCAGGTGGCTCACGGGCTGCACGCGCTCGGCCATAGCCTCGGTCTCTGTGGCCAGGGTCCCCGAGAGACACTGAATGAGTGCAGCCCGAGTCCCCAGGACCCTCCCCATCGGCTCCACACCCCCTCACCAACAGAGGCCAGCAGCTCCACCACCAAGTCCTCAGGGAAGAGTGGGGGCTCCAGGCTGCGGAAGTAGAGCTTGAGCACGCCAGCCACCGAGTCCAGGTCGTGGGGCATGCAGCCCTCCACCAGAGGGTCCTCGCCTGAGGGTGCAAGTGCACAGTGAGGGCCAGCCGTGCTCCCAAGCCCAGGCCACCCGGAGCTGGTCTGGCAGTCCCCCCCACCTCTCTCAAAGGCGTCGCGGATCTCTGTGATCCGAGGCTGGGCACCGGACACCCGGAAGATGCCCTCGTGCTGGAGGCCTGTAGAGGATACGGGCTGAGTGCCAGGATCTCCTCCCCCAGGGCCGGCCTGTGACGGTAGAGGTGTCTGTGCCCCGCTGGGGCCGTGTGGCTTACCATTGAGGTTGATGAAGCGGATGCAGCTCTCCACTACCAGGGGCACAGGTTGGCCTGAGCTCTAAGGACAGGACAGGCAAGCTGCAGCTTCACAGGGAGGCAAGCAGTGCCACTTTTTCCTGAGCAGTGCGTTATGGCCAAGTTTGTGACAGTGGCTCCTAAGGGTCTACTGTTTCCTTTTTTTTTTTTTTTTTTTTTTTGGTTTTTTAAGACAGGGCCTCACTATGTGGTTCAGGCTGGTCTTGAACTCACTATGTACTCCAGGCTGGCTTCAAACTCGAGACAATCCTCCTGTCTCAGCCTCCCAAATGCCAGAAATACAGGCGTGTGCCACCATGCCTGGCATTAAGTATCTGGTATTTCGGATGCTATTTTAGGTAGTGCCTTCCATTTTATTTGCAAATTGTTTGTTGCTGGAATGTAAAAACAATCAAAATTTGAAGGCTGACCTTGAATCAGGTGACACTGCAAACTCAAATTCGTGCATTCTTTTGAATGCTCGTGCACATAATCACACTGCCAAGAATGACAGGATTATTTTTTTCTTTTTGGACTCCCTCTCCTATGCTTTCGTGAAGCTGGGGATCAAATACAGAGCCTTGGCACTAACATCCCTGTCCTTTGGAATTTTGAGACAGGATCTTACTAGGTCTCTAAGTTGCCCGGCAACTGGGCTTGAACCCTCAACCCTTCTGCCCCACCTTCCTGAGGGCCGGGATGACGAGATGTGCACCCCGCCCAGCTTGGCTCTCTCTCCATCACTGTACAGCACCGTCCAGCAGCCCCAGAGCCACACACACGAGCCACAGTGGAAGCCAGTGTGGGGTGAGACAGTGTGGAGGCCTGAAGGAGGTTGTGGGGGTCTGGGGACAAAGGACATGGGGTTGGGTGGCTGCTTGGCCAGAGATGAGAAAGCACAGAAGAGAAGCGGCTGGCCTGCGGCCCCACGGAGCACGGGCCACACACGGACCTGGATAAACTTCTCCATGTCGCCTCCAAAGAGTCTCTGGTTGTACTGTGAGCTGGGTCGTGGCAGGCGGCTCTTCTGGAGTTTTCTCTGTGAGTATTGGGTCCTGCAGTGAAGGAGACCCGGCTCGAGGGAATAGGCACAGAGGACAGCGTGGGCCCCCACATCTTCCTTGCCAGGCCCTGCACTGCCCAGGTTATTAGTTTTTGAGACAGGATCTCACTCTGGAACCTAGGCTGGCCTCGAACTCTGGCCCTCTTGGGTTTTTCTGCACTCCACCAAGGCTCTAGGTTACCAGGCACAGAGCTAGGCCCCAGGAAGAGACTGGGTACTTTTGGGGGACTCACCACAACGTCTCCTGCTGCTCTTTGTCACCTGGGGAGGAGAAAGTGTTGGTGACCTGCCTTGTGGGCGAAGGCCTTCAGTGGGCTCAGTGAGGGGCTGGGACAGCCAAGGTCAGGCTGTCTCCGGGCTGTCCCCGTCAGGGCAGGAAGGGAGGCAGCGCGGCCGGTGCACCTCGCCCTATGGCCTCCTGCAGCTTCTCATGCTTGGCCTGCAGCTTGGCGAGGATGCTGCGTCCACTCAGGTACTCCTGCAGCTTCTGGAGAGTCCGAGAAGAGCCCTCAGTTTCTGACACGAGGCCTGAGCTGCCCAACCTCCCGGCCCCCTTCCACCGTGCCCACCGTGATGTAGAAGGTCTCTGTCTCCTGCTGCTGGCCGCGCTTCCGGCCTGCCTGCCGCCCGCCCGAGTCTGAGCCGGTGGACTTTAAGGACTCTGTGGATGGGCTGGCCTGCAAGGAGTCGGGCACTTCCCCATCATCCGACGCCACCAACTCCAGCAGGGCCTGCAGCGTCGCCTTCAGCGTCTTGTTCACCTGGGTGGGAGGTGGGGAACAGGGCTGGCAGGCAGAAGCCACACTGGCAGGAAAAGTGGGGAGGTGGCAGCAGGGTCCCGTCCCCACCCAGCCTGGCGCCGCTTCACACCTCCTCTGTTTCAATGGCCTGCCGGTCCAGGCGGCTCCGGATGTTCTGGGCCCTGGGCACAATCTCATCCCGCAGCTCCAGCTCAACCTGGATCTCAGTCACCTGCAGGGACAGCGCCAGGGCTGATGTGAATGCACCCAAGATGTGCCCGGTAGGGACCATAGCACACTGCTTGCTTGTGACACTCCAGTGGGGACGACCACTGACCCTGTGAGGGAAAACGCCAAGCGCGGGAGTGGGTGCCAGGGACGGCCTCTCTGGGCGAGGAGCACACAATCTGTGAACACACTGGAACCAATGAATGGCACTGTGGACTAAACGTGGGGCCTGTGCACTGAGCAGCATTCCCAGCCTTTTCTTCATGGGACAGGGTCTCGATAAGTTGCTCGGTTGCCTAGGATGGGCTCCGACTTACCATCTGCCTGCCTCAGCCTCCCAAAGTGCCCGAGTGACAGGCATTGGCACTACACCCACTTTGAATTGTATTTTTTAGGAGATTAATGGTATATGTTACTCCTCAACTGGCTCCGTCTTTTAAGCCAAGAATGGCCAGGACAGAAAGAGGGCCTCGGGGACAGAGAGGACAGTGCCCGTGGATGCACAGGTTGTGGAGGAGAGCGCCTCAGGAAGCTAGGGGCCGCAGGGTCAGGGTAAGTTCTGGCTGCAGGTCAGGCTGAAGAGAATGCTCAGTGCACAGTGACCGTGACAAAAATAAAAATAAATAAATTTAATAAATATAAAAAACATGAACATCTAAATATCCAGAAAACTCTGGTATTGCAGTTAGAATTCTGTTAAAATTCATATAAAGAACTAAAAAAAAAAATCAGTCCTCTCAGATTTACAGACCCAATCCAAAAGCGGGCAACTGAGATGAGTACACACTTCTCAGACGAGGAAATGCAACAGCAAACAAATACGTGAAAAAGTGTTCAACATCACTAGCCACTCAAGAGATGCACATTAAAACACTGAGATTCTACCTCACACCAGAAAGAATGGCTGTTATTAAGAAATCAAGCAATAACAAATGCTGGAGAGGCTGTGGGGTGGGGGAAAAGGATCCCTCCTGCACTGTTGGTGGGAGTGCAGACTGGTGCAGCCACTGTGGAGGTCAGTCTGGAGATTCCTCAAAACACCTAGATTGGCGGTCCCATTCAATGCAGTCGTACCCCTCCTGGGTATCTTCCCAGAAGAACTAAAAACATACCTCAGTGATATATGTGCACCCATATTTATAGCAGCACAATTTACAATAATTAAATACTGGAAACAACTCAAATGCCCATCAACCAAGTAATAGATTAAAAAGCTGTGGTATTTTATACAATGGAGTATTATTTAGCTATAAAGGGTAAACTGGAGACTTTTATAGGTAAATGGATGCAACTTGAGACCATACTTGTCAGTGAAGTAAGACACATGTGTAGACACAGTACTGTCTCCCTAGTGTGAGAAGCTGAAAGAAACAACATGTATACGTGCACGTGTATGTGTGTGTAATGAAAAGCTAGCTACGGTAGTCACACTACTGATTTCTCGGAGTTCACTGAAGAGGAAGATCTGCGCCGGTACTGTTCGGACAACTGAATGCAGAGCTCCTGTGCTCTGGGTGAAAGATTTGGGGATGACAATGCGCAGTGTATGTACCATTGTTGCCCCAGACGGACGTGTTCTGAAATTTTGTCTTATTTTATTTTTTCCCTCTTTGAAATAAGATGGATTTGTTTAGCTCAGCAGTGTAAGCGCCTGCTTGTTAAACTCAAGGTCGTGAATTCAATCCCCACCCCACCCCCCAAAAAAATAAAAAAGAAATAAAATGGATTTAAAAAAACAAAGAAACTAAATTTCTAATTTTTTGTTTGTTTGTTTGTTTGGTGCTGGGGATCGAACTCATGACCTCGCGCTTGCCAGGCAGGCGCTTAAGCCACTGAGCTAAATCCTTAGGCCCAAATTTCTAAATTTTTAAAAAAATCGTGTTAAAATTGAGTGACAGCTAGGCGTGAAGGTACACACCTGTCATCCCAGCACCTGAAAAGCCGAGGCAGGAAGAAAGATTGCTGCGAGCTCCAGGCCAGCCTGGACTGCTTCAAAGAAAACAAAATCAAGATTTAAAAAAAAGTAAAGATGCAGCTTATCTGCAAGAAGCTGGACATTCCCTCTCTGCTCCTCTAAGCTGTACCAAATGGGACTGCACAGGGACTCAGTCATGAAAGGTAACAGAAGAGCCCTGACTCAGCCTCAGCAGGGCTAACCAAGGAGGGAAGGACAAATCCTGTCTCACTTCTACGAGGTGTTTTCCTTGAGGGTGCCACAACCCCTGGCAGGGATAGACTCTGAAGGGTGCCAGGGTGGAGGGCGAGGACTGGGTGGGCTTTGGGTTTGGTTTGGGTTTTAAAGACAGGATCTCACTGTGTAATCCAGGGTGGCCTTGAACTCACAGCTGCCACCACACCTGCTTATCTCATCTTTTAAATAAGGCCACCCTAAGCCCTAGGAAATGCTAAGTGTGCCCCACCCCCAGCCCACACTGTTGGCAGGAACCTGGTCAGTTCTCTCCGGGGAGGCCCTGCCCCCGGGGAGGACAGGCTCTGGGATGTTCGGCATGGCACGCTGGTGACAGTGTGTGCAAGCCCCGCCCTGGGGCTGGCCGGGTCCCCTTAGTTTGGCCTTGGTGTTGCCCCACTGACACTGGCAATGTCACAGATCAGTGGCTGTGGATGAGCCACTCTGGGACCATGAGGCGACAGAAACAAGGCCATACTCCATGCACACCTGATGTCCCATGAAAGCAAGAACCTTGTCCCTAACCTTGGTTTTCTGTCGTTGTTTGGTGCTAGGGATGGAACCCGAAGCACCAAACAACATCCCCCGTTGTTTTCCCAATTTTCTTTTTCTTTTCTTTTTTTTTTTTTTTTTTTTTTTTTTTTTTTGGTCTTTTTCTTTTTTATCGGTACCGGGGATTGAACTCACGACTGCCTGCTTGCAAGGCAGGCGCTTATGCCGCTGAGTTAAATCCCAGCCTTTTTCCAATTTTCTTTTAAAACAGGGTCTTGCTGAGTTGCCCAAGCTGCCTTTAAGCTTGGGATCATCTGCCTCAGCCTCCACCAGCCTCAGTGCTGGGATGGCAGGTATATGCCAACACCTCTAGCTCAGATTTGTGTTAAACTTCACTTGGGGTTGGGAGGTCATTAGACAGATCTCAGAGAAAGTGGAATAGAAAGGCCTGGAGATGGGAATCGGGAAGGAGCAGGAAATGAGTCAACCATGAGGCTCACTACCCAGCAACAAGGATTCTCAAAAGAGAATGAAGCGGAAACGAAGCGCAAGAGGGTATCTCCGCAGCCCTACTAGCCCCACAGCAGGCAGGGTACAGCTTCCCAGATTGACAGGTGTCCTGGCTGCCAGGGTCAGGTGAGAGAGAACATCTCAGTGCAGACCCCTGTGGCATTCTGGGACAGTTCCTGAGGTAGGGACTGTCCCAGAGACTCAGGAGACAAGAGCAAGTGTGCCTAATGAAAAATCAGCAGTCAATCAGTGTGGTGGTGCACTCCTATAGTCCCAGCGCTCGGGAGGCTGAGGCAGGGGAATCACTTCGAGTTCAAGACCAGCCTGGGCTACAAAGTGAGCTCAAGGCCAGCCTTAATTGCTCAGCAAGACCCTGTCTCAAAAAGACAATAAATGAATAAATAAAAATAAAAATAAAAATCACCACTCAATGTTTTTTTTTTTTTTCCTTCCAGGTCAGCATTACGAAAATATTTTTGGTTTTCTTCTGCTTTTCTGAGATATGGTCTTGACATGTAGCCCAAGCTGGCCTTCAATGTGCAGTCACCCTCCTGCCTCAGCCTTCTGAGTGCTGAGAAGACAGATGTGCTCACCATCCCACTGGGCAATCAGGAAAACTTTGAAACACTCGAGAGCAGGGATAGCGGGTTCCCACCTGTGCATGAGGCTGTGGGGCGGGGACATCTGTGTACCCAACCACTTTTGAAACCCAGACAGCACCAGAAGCCCTTTGCAACTGTGCTGGGAGTCACACAACAGTGCAGAGGGAATCTCACCTGGTCACCTTCATGGGGCTGGTAGTCGAAGCGCAGTGGGGGGCAGAAGGCTGCCGCATGTACCTCAAGCACCTTGGCCTTGTCCCCCAGTGGGTCCAGGGCCTCCAGCGCCTCCTCCAAGCTGCCCAGGCCCTGCATGTGGGAGGCCTGGCTGCGGCTCTCAGCAGCCACAAAGCTCCGCAGCGCCTGCCCCAGGGCCAGGTGGAAGCCCATGTCGCAGCACTGGGGACAAGAAGCACAGAGGCTGGGTGGTCGTGGGGCACACGCCCCCAGCCCTGCCTGGGGCCCGATGCCCGATGCCCAACTCACGTCCATGAGGTCCAGGACATCATGCAGGTAGTAGCTGCTGACTGCTGCATTGACGCTGGCCAGGCTGAGCAGGTATTCATTCCGCGCCTTGGTACACTTGAGTCTGTGCTCCAGGAACTTGGCCTGGCGCTGCTCAGACAGCGAGGCCACCGGGGTCACCACTCACCAGTGCCCCACTTCTGGCCTTGAAGGTGACTCCCCCACCATGACACCCCACAAGTCCTTTCAACTCTGTGCAGACCCCAAGTCCTGCTGCTGCCTCCCCTGTTCTTCACCTGCCACCGCTGGCCTGCGCTCCATGGACAGAGCAGAGGCGACAGAGAATTAGCTGTCCGACAAGAGGCACACAAACACCCCTCGATGGAGGCAGGAACCAGGGGGAACCATCTCCCCTATGCTTCAAGCTGGTACCCCCACATCCTATATCCTGCAACTGTCCCCCTTCTGTCCCTCAGCCCCCGGGCACCCCAGTGGCATTGGGCCCACCTTCTCCACCAGCCGCCCCCCCTTCTTGACCGAGCTCTTGCGCTGCGGCCCGGCCTCGGCAGCGCTGGCTGGGCTGGTGACGGTGGTGGCTGTGGTGGGGGCGCTCCGGCCCGCCCTCTTCTCCTCCTGCCGCTCAGCTTCTCGGAGCTTGGCCTCAGCGCTGGCGCTCTCTGTGCGGTACACCTGGTATGTCTTCCTGGCCTGCGATGGACCAAGCCAGGCACCCAGTGATGGACCAAGCCAGGCACCCAGTGATGGACCAAGCCAGGCACCCAGTGATGGTCACATTCGAGCACATCCCCTCCAGGGGCCCTTGAGGCTCAGGGGTGGATGCTAAGTCCAGCCTTCCTGTCCGTAGTCTCCTGAGCGCAATTCTCCACCATCCCTGCTCACCGTCTGGAGCTCTGAGACCACTTCCAGGAGATCATCCTGCAACTGCTGCCCCAGGTCCTTGCTCTAGAAGTGGAGGGGGAGTGAGGGCCAGTTCAGCAGCCGCCACTTGAGTGCAGGAGCCGCCCTGCCCAGGTCTGGCACACACGCACCTTCTTGACGATGCGCCCCACGTCCTCGGCGATGTGGCTCAGACGCTGTGCCAGGGGACCCCCCAGCAGCTCACCCAGGGCCGCGCTGTCCCGGCTCTGCTGCCGCGTATGCTGCAGTAACACGGCCCAGCAATGCAGGGGGGACAGGAGTGATGGCTCCTTCCTGGGGGCACGAGGCATTCAGACTGGGCCCAGCCCCACAATGCACCTGTCTGCACCGCGCACCCATCCATGCCGCACACGGCACCCACCGGAAGCTCTGCAGTTCACGCCCACTGCCACCCAGGCGGCCACCGCGGCTGGCCAGGCGTTCGGCCAGTTTGTCCAGGCCCCGGGAGTACTCAAGCTCCACCTCGGCACGGCGCCGTGCGAACTCAGCCAGCTCCTGCAGCAGCTCCCGGCGCAGCTCGCCCTGCAGCTCCAGGCAGCGCAGCTGCTCGCCCAGCTGCCAGCGAATCTCTGCGAGGAAGCAGAGGGCCTGGAGGGGCTGCCAGCCCAGGCCTGCGCGGCAGGCACGGAGCAAGCAGCCGCCTTGGCAGCTCCTAGGGACGAGGCCTCCACACTGAGGACCAGGCAGGCGGACAGAGGCAGCAGCTCTAAGGAGAGGGCAAGGGTGTCCCAGTGGGAGGGCACAGTGGTGCAAAGACCAGAGTGATGAGAGTTCAGCAGCTCTGGGGAGCTGAAGCTGGTTATTTCTGCTCACTTGATTGGTTTTTCAATTTTTGTGAGTCAGGGTCTCACTATATAGTCCAGGTTGTCCTCGAATTCACTACTATAGCCTAAGCTCAGCTCAAACTTGAGGCGATTCTGCTTCAGCCTCCCAAGTACTAGGAGGACAGGCTGCAATGTCACAACCAGCTTGGGCTGTTTAGGAAGGGTGGAACACAGGGCCAGCCCAGCACCATTACCAGGCACGAGGGGGACCCTGGGGTCCAGATGGCCCACAGCAATGAATACATAGCCTCAGGCCCCAGGGTAAAAGGCAGTCCCAGTAGGGCATGATGGCACACTGTGGGGATTAATGCAGGAGGGCAGAAAGTTTGAGCCCAGCTTAGGCAATTTAGGGAGACCCTGTCCTAAAATAAAAACAAGAACAGGTCCGGGAATGGAGCTCAGGGTGAAGGCCGTGGCTTCAGCCCAGTACTATAAAAAGAGAAAAGAAAAGAAAGAACGGAAGGAAGAAAGAAAAAACAGGACCGCGTGGGGGTTGGGTGTTGCGTGGGTGAGTGAAGAAAGGGGCTGGCTTGTATAGTGCTCCCAACCCCCGCCCTCTGGCTTCCCCTCCCCAACAGGAGGCCATGCCCAGGTGACACCCTGCCTTCCACAACTGAACACTGGCTGCTCCCCCATGGGCCCGCTGGCAGCACATAGGGCTTTGGCAACCTGCTGGCACAGTCCCTGGGCTGCGTGCCGTCTCTGTTCCCATCCCCAGGGTGGCACACTCTAGACACTGACTGTGGCTGAGAGACAGTTACTCCACTGGTACAGAGAGCAGAAGGCAGGGGCTGGGGCATTCGGGTGTCCTCCCAACTCCCCTCTCTCAGCCAGGCTCAGGTGGCCCAGGCCTGGCCTCTGCTTTACCCCCACTAGATTCTCTGGAGACAGCTCCATGGGCGCTCTCCTGTCACCAACAGATCAGGCTGGACGAATGGGAGCCCAGAATGCAGGGGCCTTGGGCAGTAAAGCCAAGGCAGGGCTAGACCAGGAGCTCAGGCATCCGGTGGGACGGCAGGAGGCAACTTGGCCACCCTGAGGCCACCTACAGCCCCAGACTGCTATCAAGAGAGTCCTCGGGAATCAGGGGACCTTCTTTGGAATGAAACAAAAGCTCAAACTGGTTTCATTCATCAAAGGCTTTAGACTATCCAGCGGGCCTGCCTGGCCTGGAGACCTGTTGCCACTGAACCGAGGCAAAGGGAGCAGTGACCACCCTATTGTTCACTCCCGCCCTTCCCTTCTGCCACTGTCCAGCCCCACCCACCTCCACCCATGTGGACATGCGCACTGGCCGCTGGGCCCCTAGTAGCTTGAAATTGCAAGCCAATTGCATTTGTGGTCCCCAGAGTGCTGGAAAGAGGAAGACTGCCTGCAGCTTGCAGACAGCTCGGAGACCCGTCCTGACCTGCCCCCAGTCAGCAGCCCTGTCCCACCCCTCCTGGCAGACACCTTGCAGCAGGGGCTTGTTTGCTGATGTCTCCCACACACCTGACACCTGAGAGCAGGAACCGGTCCACACACCTCTCTCTTCTCCCTGGCCTTCACCCTGAGTTACATGCCCTTCCAGCCCTATTTATTTATTTATTTTTATTTTGAAACGAGGTCTCAGTAAATCACTGAATTGCTTAGGCTGGGCTGCAATTTAGAATCCTCCTGCTTCAGCCTTCCACAGTGCTGAGATCAGAGATGAGGCGTGCACCAGCTCCAGTACAATAGGGACAGAACAGATGTATACAAAACATCTGACAAAACAAAGGCCAGGGGTCTGGAATCCCCTATTCCATCTGTTTGAATTGCGAAGCTGGGCCTCCCATCACACTTCCTGTGTCACACTTCCTGTGAGCGCCAGCAGGGCTCTCACTTCTGCTGCACTCGGAAGATGGCTTCCCCGCCGCCACTCTGCTGACGTGGAGAACCCAGTGAGCCAAGCACACAGCCTGCTCTCTCTCACGCGTTCCGCAGGCTCTCAGGGGTTGCAAGGCAGAGGCCCCCCATCCTGGGGGTGCGGCGCACTCGAGGGCCATCAGGAGTGGCCTGGCTCCAATCCCTGGCATCTCGAAGGGCCTCACCAGCTCTGCTGACTGCAGGGCTCTCCTGCTGGTGCCTTCCCGGGCCCCCCCCCCCCTCACCCAGCGTTTGAGGAAGTCAGGTGGGAGCCTTCCCGCCACAGCACCCGGCCCTGCAGGGCTACCACGCCCTCTGCAGTGGCCTGGAGCTGGCCAAAGGGTCAGCGGACACGCCAGGGTGCAAACAGCTGGCACTACACACATAGGGCAGCACCCTCAGGTCTAATGGCCACGCACCCCAAAGTCACCTCCCTGAGCTCCATTCCGCCACGAGGAAAGTGAAGCTTTGAGAGTGACATCGGTGCTGGACATCTTCTGGCCCTCGTCTCTGCAACAGAATCACTTAAGCCTTGCCGGGAATTTGCAAGTACATTTGCATGAGATTTGCACAGGGCATCAGCAGAACCCCAAGAAGTCGGATTCCAGTGGGCAACAAGCCTGCAGCATTCGCACAACTGGGGCAGGGGGGTGCCAGGTGCCAGGGCTCCAGGAACAGCACTGCAGTTGGGCTGGGCCACCGCCAGTCAGTCCCACCAAGCTGCTCACTGCCACTTCCCAGCTTGCCACCTCCTCAGGTCCTCGCGGGAGCAGGGGAAAGGAGAAAGGAGAAAGCAGAAAGGAGAGAGGAGGGCCCTTGTAAGGGCAGCTCCCAGACCCCGCGTTCTCCGCGACCTGCCAGGCGCTCCCTCACCTTTGACCTGCGCTTCGTACTCAGCCTGCATTCCCCGCTCCCGCCGCAGTTTCCCGTGTGCCGCCATCGCGGCCCAGTGGCCGCGCCGTCGAGCCCCGCTGCTCCCACGCGGGCGGGTGCCGCGACCTGGAGCCCCTCCGCCTGCACCCCGGCAGGCCCCGCCCCGCCCCGCCCCCAGAGCTCGGGGGCGGGACCTGGCACTGCCCCCAGGGGCCCCTGCCCCGATGATGGCCGGAGGTTGTCCCCTTCCGCTGTTTTCGCGCGTCGGCCGCCCTGGGCCCACCGCCCCCTACCTAGCAGCCAGGGCAGGAGCAAGAGTCCCAAGATGCCCAGCAAACTGCCACCATGCTGCCATCCCCCCCATCAGCTCCAGAAGACTGTCTTTGGGCACCACCGCCAGACTGCATCCCGCCAGAGCCACTGGCAATCAATAGCATTGAACAGCAGGATGTGGTGGCACAGTCCTGTCATCCCAGTAGCCAGGAGGCTGAGGCAGGAGGATCACCTTGGGTGTGAGGCTGGATAGGTTACATAGTGAGTTCAAGGCTAGTCTGTACCACATAGCCTCAAAAAACAAAGAAAAATAAAATAGCAGTGGCCAGCAAGATGGTAGCTGCCCTAGGGCTTGGCTTCCTAGGACTGTCTGCACACTGGGTCCCCAGGATGCTCCGGGGTCCCCCTTCATGGCTCCTGGCTGAGAAGCCTCAGCCTAGAGAGCCTCAAGCTGTACCTTCATCCCTCCAAGCATCCGGTCCAGAGCTGGCCGGGTTCCCCTTCTGCTCAGCCGGGGGATGAGAGGGGGCAACAGCCTTCGGTTCCCCATAGGTGGTTACCGCTTCCTGCCGCAGGAAACCCTGCTCCCGCAGCCTCCCTGTAGCATGCACCTGCCCTAGCCTGGGCAGTCTTGGGGCCTCCCTTTCCCAGGGTGCCATCCACTCTAGGCTATGGAACAATAGCTTCTGCAGATAGCCATGATAAGCCAGAGTTGACAGCTGTGTTTGGCTTGGTGGCAGGGAAATCCCAGGTCCAGTGCTCAGGACAAGAGCAAGGTAGCTAGGCACTGCGTGTCCAGGGAGGCAGGGGTGCAGGTGCACTTGTAGACACCTGCAGAGGGGACAGGTAGACAGCCTTGACTTCTGCCTGGAGGGAGGGGTCCTGCTACTAGCGCTGCTGGGAGCCTCTGAGCTAGTGACGGTTCACAAGTGCCCTTGGACAGAACCACCCAGAGGGCACAGGGCATCTGAGAAACGCCCCAAGGATGTCTCACTATGTAGTCCAGGCCGGACTTCAATTCCCTTTGGAGGTCAAACCGACTTCAAACTCAAGATTCTCCTGCTTTAGCTTCCCAAAGTGTCAGGATTAGAAGTATGTACCACCACCTCACCTGGCTTTAAATGTACACTTGATCTTAGCCAAAAGGCCAAGAAGCAATGGCTTGAAATGTAAATAGAATTTTGTTTGTAGAGCTGGAGCTGAAACCTAGGGGCCCAAGCATGCTGCTCAAGCATTTTACCACTGAGCTACACTCCCAGCTGCCCACAGGATCCTGAAGGAAGGTCCCCAGTCCACAACACTGATCTGTGAAGCACCAATGCTGGGGTCCTCCAGCAGGCAGGGGCACTGTGCCAGCCCATGTCACACTTCATTGCCCCCATGTCATACAAATCCTGCCACTGCAGAAACCACACTGAGGCCCCACATCCGGCTGTCTCCTAGTCCTCCCTGAGTCCTGATTGGTCCCCAAACCTTGCTCTCCAGCAGAGCCAGGCTTAGGGCCCCCAGCACACAGGAAATGGCTGCCCTTGGCCGGCAAATGCTCTTCTCTGCCTCAGGCACCATAATCTCGAGTGAAACACTGAGAACAAAGCCTCTGGCGGGGAGAACCCTGGCTTTTATTACTTTTCTCCCCATCAGCCCTGCTGCTCCCCCTCCAAGATCCCAGACACAGGCTCTCGTGCATGTGAGGGTCAGATGTGCAGGACATTTCTAAACTCGTTGAGGCCAGGGGTGTTGGCACATGCCTGTCATCCCAGCACTCCAGAGGCTGAGGCAGGAAGATCACTGCAAGTTCAAGGCCAGCCCCTTTACATAACAAGACCCTGTGTCAAAAAAGCAAAAATAGGGCTGGGTATGTAGTTCCATGGCACAATCACCTGCCTGCCTGGCAAACACGAAGTCATGAATTTGATTGCTAGTATCAAGTACATAAATAAATACAATGGAAAAATAAACTCGTTGAGGCGGGGGAAGTGAAAGGACCATGGAATGAAGATGTGTTATGTACATGTACCAACATCCCCAAGTGAATGCAATCATTATACTGCAACATGTCCTAATAAAATTCTGAAAAAAGTACATACACATTGGGGTGGGGATTTAGCTCAGTGGCTCAACCACTTGCTTGGTAAGCGCAAGGTCATGAGTTCGATCCCCGGTACCAAAAAAAAACAAATGCGCACACATTCTTTTCCACTTTTTTACTTCCTGGGTGAATGCACACACATTTTTAAAAATGAGGGAAAAGGGTCGTGAGTTCGATCCCCGGTACCGCAAAAAAAAGGTGGGGAATACAATCAACCGGTTGAAGAGTGTACATTTGGACCTGGGGGTGATCACAGGGCTGGGGGGTTGCTTTAGGGCCAACGGGAGATGGAAGCGAGGCGACAATGAGGCCGTCCCAGGGGAGCAAAGCGCCACTGCGCCTCTTGTTTCCCTGTCACTATTCCAGGGCTCCTCAGGAGCCGCGCTGGGCCTCCTGGATATCAACGGATTCCAGCCTCGCCCCGGGCACCAAGCAGCGGCCTGGGAAACGGGTGCTGCGGACGGGGGAAGTGCTGGGCCCCAGGGCCAGGCGAGCCTGCGGTTTCCCCCTACCCTTTCTTCCCCATCCGCAGCTCCCACCTCCGCCCAGGAAACCTAACTGCCTCGGAGGCGGCTCAGCGCTGAGCAGCTACAGAGACGCAGCGAACACAGGGGACAGAGCCCGCGGGAGCCGAAAGCGGCCCCTCCCATCCGCCGAGGGTTTCGCCTACCAGCGACGGAGCGCTGCACATGCAGCGCGCAAGCCCGCCCACCCGACCGTGCGGAGTTCGGCCCCGGCGCCACCGGACCAATCAGAGCCTGGGAAGCAGGCGCGCCGCAGCCTGCGAACCGGAAGGGGCTGGCGAGTGCGCAGGAAAAACAGACAGAGAAGCCTGTGACTATATCCAATCAGAACGCAGCCCCACTGGAAGCAGCCGGTCTAAGAGGGGCGGCTCGCGCAGGCGCGTCTTTCCCGGCCCGCTCCGCCCCTCCCTCCGCATTCTGGTCTCGGCCGCCCCGGCGCATGCGCATTGTATAACCGGTGCCTGCCGGAGCCGAGCACAGCTAGGGCTGGGAGCTGTGAGCCGCTCGCGACAGAGCCCAAGAGAAGGGCGAGAGCTTGGGCTCCCGAACACATGACGCGCCGCCAGAGGGAAGAGCAAGGAGGAAGAGCCCAGGGCGACTGCTGGGGTCAGGGTGGGGTCAAGGGAAGCTGAACAGGTGACAGGCAGGAGACTGCGGTGGACACACCTGTGTGTTGGGTTGGCACCCATAGGGACTGTGGGACATGCCCAGGCAGTTTGGGGACTCATTGGAAATGGGCCTCAAAGTTCAAATTTACAAGGGCTGCAGATTTGAGCCCAGGCCCCGGGACTGGAGTGGGATGCAAATAGATCAGAGGCCACAGGGACACCAGCCACCAGACAATGTTAGTAGCAGGCCGGCCCCTTCCGGGAGGCCGGGGCAAGAGGATCACAGCGAGTTGAAGACCAGCCTGGGCCACATGGCGAAACTGAGACTGTGTCATTCTGGCCTCGAACCTGCAACAATCCTCTTTCCTCAGCCTTCCCAGTGCTGGGATGACTGCCCCGTGCTGCTCTGCTCAGCAAACCACCTAATAATAGGGGGACTGGTGAGGGGGAGGAAGGAGTCCCTTTTATCCCATCCATTTCTCTAAATCACACTCGACTGAAGTCTGAGTTCTCTCCAAGCAAGTGGCTAGGGCCTCAAGTGACCTAAGAGGCCGGAGCCTGAATACCAGGCCGAATGAGGGCAGGAGACCAAACATGTTCCTCAAGGCCATGGGCCAAGCTTTATTGGGACAGCTGGCAGGTTGAGGCGGGGCAGACGTGCTCTAGGAGGCAGAGTCAGAGGCTTCTGAGCTGTCCTTGACATCCGTGCTCTCTGTGGTCTCGCTGACCTCACTGAGGTCCTTGCTGTCCCCGCCACTGTCTTCAGCAGCCAGGATCTTCTCCTCCCGGCAGGCCTCACCCGGGCCCGGGAGCGGGGTTCCTTTGCTTTCTGCCTTGTTCTCAATGACACCCAGCACCACATGCCTGCTCTTGTCTTTCAACTCCAGGTGCCGCCTCAGCTGATTCGGGTGAAAGGGACAGCACCTGAGTCTCCAGGCAATGGCCAGGCAGCTGGCTGGGCAGGGGGAGACTGCTGCACCCTAGCTCTGCTTGTCCCTAGGCCCAAAGCAGGCCACCTTGACTGTGCCCAGAGCCACCCGCCTGCCCTTCAGTTCCTGCAGACAGGTGGCTTCCTGGCAGCCAGCTCTGGAGCTGATGCCCTCTCTGTTCTGTTTTGTTTTGTTTCACTTTTTGAGACAGGGTCTTGCAGTGTAGCCCAGGCTGGCCTCAAGCTCAGGGCTATTCTCCTGCCTCAGCTGAGGACAGGGATGACAGGCGTGTGCCACCACAGCCAGCTTCCAATGTCCTCTTTGTTTTTTTGTTTTTTGTTTTTTTTTTTTGTCTTTTTTGTTTTTTTATGGGTACCAGGGATCGAACTGATGACTGCCTGCTTGCAAGGCAGGTGCTTATGCCACTGAGCTAAATCCCCAGCCCCCATCCAATGTCTCTAAGGCAGGCCAGGGCTGCCTCCTATTTGATTGCTCAGGAAGCCCCAGCCACCAACGGCAGCCCTGCTTGGGGGGCCCCAGGCTCTTACCTCCTCGGCCATCTGGGTGAGGTCCCGCTTCATGGCATAGGCATCTTCCCCGTCTGCATAGTACTTGGGTTCCACCTCGCTAATCCTGGAGCAGGAAGAGGAACCCAACCCCAAGGAACCCTTCCTTTCCCAGCAGCCCCATCTCCGGCCCCAGCCTGGCTGCCACCTGGCTGTCGCCCAGCTCACCTTGCCCTTCCTGCCCTGCAGCCTGTCACCAAGCACACAGCAGGTCCTCTAAGAGCCTACACCAGCAGGTATTTGCACACTGGATTTGGCCTAATGCCTGAAGACTTAACATGAAGCGCTTGCCACCAAAAGCATTTTAGGATAGTTTGGCAGTACTGAGATTAAACCCAGGGCCTTCGAACTCAACTACATCCCCACCCCACCCCATTTTGTTTTAATTTTTGAGACAGGTTCTCACTAAGAAGTTAAGTTGCCGAGGCCTCCAAGCACTGCAATTACAGGCCTGACCACCACAACTGGCTTCAGAGGCATTCTGTTTGTTCTATTTTAGTTTTGGCTTTGTGAGACAGGATCTCATTCTGTAGCCCAGGCTGGCCTTGAACTTACTATGTAGCGAGCGATCTGGCTGCCTCAGCCTCCCAAATGCTGGGATCACAGGGTGTGCCACTATGCCCAGCCTCCAGAGGCATTCCCAACTGGGCCAAAGGTCCCTCTCATCAGGATGTTGAACTCAGCCTGAAGCCACCATCCTGCTCCAGTCCCTCTCTGTGTCCTCAACCCTGCCAGTCCAAAGCCAAGTGTCTTGGGGAGCCTGCAAGGGCAGCCCCACTGTCTGCCCCACATCAGGTCACCTGCATCCCGGGCAGACCTGGGCTTGTCCAGCTGGACACCCAGGACTCTGGGTCCCCGTTGCTCTTGCTCCGAGCCCTTCCTGCCTGCATCTTCTCGCCTTTCTTTCTTTTTATTTAGTTTTCTGGGACAGGGTCTCACTACATAGTTCAGGCTAGCCTGGAACTCACTATGGGGCCCATGCTGGCTTGGAACTCAAGAGATCCTCCTGCCTCAGCCTTCCATGTGCTGCGATGACTGGCGTGCACCACCAAGCTAGGGTTGCATCAAGTTTCTTCCACTGCCAGTTGCTCGGCTCCACCCCTAGCCCCTGAAGCCATCTACTTACTGAAAGTTGAGGGTATTGGAGTAGAGGTGCAGGGCGGCCCGGTTACTGCAGGGAAGAAGGCGCTGCTGAGCTGTCCAGGTGTGATCAGAGCAGCCCCCATCCCGTCACCATGCCTCCCAGCCCACCCCAGCCCAGTCTCCACCTCTTCCTGACGTGCAGGGACACATATTTGGCATTGAAGTTCTCAATCATGGCACGTGAGGCCTGGTCCATAAGCTTCTGAGCCAGGCCCAGGCGCCTATGGGAGCGCTTCACAGCCTGGAAGGGAAGATAGCAGTATGGTGGGCTTGGGGCTCCCGACTCCCCCCACTTCCACCCTGCCAGCGGCCATGGTGCCCCACTCACCAGTGAGGTGATGTGTCCATGGGGCACGTCATCTGGGTCCTCCTCCCTGAGTGGGAAAGGAGGCAGGTACAAAGGTGAGGGCTGCAGGCATGGCCACCCTCTGGGACCTGTTCTCGGGCCTGAGGCTGGCCCTGCACTGCTCCAGAACGAGGCCCCAAACCCCTCCCTGCAGTCATCAGACATGTGCACTGTCCACAAACACAATACTGCTCCATGATTCAAAACATCCATTCCCAGAACGGGAAAAAAAAAAAAAAAAAAAAAAACCTCTCGGGAGGCTGAGGCAGGAGGATCACCATGAGTTCCAGGCCAGCCTAGGCTACATAGCAAGACCTTGTCTCAAAAAGAACAATGAAAAAATAGTAATAAAAGTGGTTTTTAAAAAGCAATAATAACAAGGTGTCAAGCCACAAAACAAGCAAAACATGCACTTTGCTAGGTAGAAAAGGCCTCAGGCTACCATGCCCCACACAGCCCTGGTACGGGAAGCCATGCTGTGGACCTGCACAAGACTGTGGCTATAGGGATTGAGCAGGGAGAGCAGGTGACAGGTGCACAGTGTTGCTGTTCCGTGGGACACAGAAGGTGCGGTGGACAGTCACTGTCCAGACCCAGGGGAAAAGGAGAAACTGGCTAACACTAGGACAGTGACAGCCAGTGGCAGGACAGGAGGGAGAACTGGGACCTGGAGCCTCCATGGGCCTAGGACACAGAATCCCAGAGAAAACCACAGTAGGGTCAGCTCAGGAGTTAAGAAACAAAGTCTCCCTGCTGGGTCCCCACCTTAGGCAAGGTTGTCATCTGACACAACACATTGATGCCACAGCAAATGGAAGGAAAGGCTTATGTGAAAATCCGACGTCCTCTGCTCAACTTGTCCGTAAACTTTAAACTGTCAGGGCAGTCCTCCTGCCTCAGCCTCCTGTGTGCTACTGTAATGAGGGGTGTGGCCTGGCTGGTTTAGTATTTCTAAAAACCCACAGTGAGCGGCCCTCCCCAGATGGACCCAGCCCCAGGCTTGTCTCTTCCTCCCTGATGACTCACATTTTGGCCAGGACATACCCCACAATCTTCCCGTTCTCATCCTCGGCAATGTAGGACAGCTGGTGGCAGAGAAGAAAGAAATCAGGGTCCCGCAGGGTGGGTGGCCACCCGCGCGCGCGCGCACACACACGTGTGCCATACGCACTGCTCCTGACAGCCGGAAACCGATGGAGCGGGCGTGAGCTGTGTGACAGCCCTGTGAGCTGCGGCTGGAGCCCTGTCCTTGCCGGAGTCCTAGACCCCGCGGCGGCAGCCCATCCGGCCCGGCCGAGCACTCACCTGCGGCCAGGAGAGGCCGTGGTAGAAGTAGTACTTCATCTGGTAGTTCTCGGGCAGACAGAGCAGGTTGCAGTGCTGCATGTTCATCAGGTCCTCAGGCTGCAGGGAGGCGCGGGGCGCAGGCGGTGAGACGCCGCTCCGGGCTGCGCCGGCTGGGGGCCTCGCTCAACCCCAGGCTAGGCCAGCGGCTGTCGCGCGGAGCAGCGCTTCCCGCAACCCACCCTGCGGGACCCTGTCATCACTCGTACGCGACAGCTGGGCAGCCAGGGCCCGGCTTCCCCGGCCAGCCCGATGGTCCCTCGGGAGCATGCGCACGCGGCCAGCGTCTGCGCCCACGCGGCGCGTACAGCCCCCCCAACCTCCCGGCCCGAGCCCTCACCCTCGCGTTGCGGATGTTCATCGCTGCGGCGGGGATCGCAGGTCCCGGGGAGGGTGATAGCGCAGTCTGCGGCCGCTGCGCTCCGAAGGCCGGGGTCGGGGCAAGAGACGGGATCGTAGAGGCGGCGGGGGCGGCGGCGGCGGAAGGGGAGGTGCACAGCGAACCGGTCAGGGGGCGGAAGTGCGTGGCCCCCGGACCCGCCTCCCGGCCGCGGCCCCTGCGCAGAGTGGCCCGGCGTGCGGGGCGGGGCGCGCACGAGCCAATGAGCGGGGCGGACGCGGGGCGAGGCGCCGGCGGCGAGCTGGGCCCCCGGGCTGTGGGACGCGGTGCGGTTACGGTCTCCCCACCCCGGCAGCAGACGCGCGCACACGGGCAGGTGCAGCAGGTCGAGCTTTATTAGGCCTCGCGGGGGGCGGGGGTGGGGGCGGGGGCGGGGTCCGGGGCGCGGCTCAGCAGGGAGCCCAGCATCTCCTCGCACAGCGCCAGGCACCGCGGTACATGGAAACAGCCTAGGAGACAGCGCCAGGTTGGGAGGGCAGGGGGACCCCGGGGCCGCGAGCCCCTGCGCCCTGCTCACCTTTGAAAGGGCCCCCCTTGATGGTGAGCGCGACCTTCCCCTCCCGGTTCAGGTAGCCGAACCACTCGCCATGGTCGGGATCGCGAAACTGGGTGAGAAGGAGATGACGTTAGGGCGCCTGAGATCCCCACTGCCGCGCTTCAACACGGGCCCGGCCTAGGGAAGGGGCCGCCTGAACGGAGCACCCAGTTGGGCTCCCTGAGTGGTACTCGACGGAGCACATTGTGGCCAGCGACTCCGAAGACCCGGCAGACACTTGGGCCACATCACACAGAGCCCCGCGCCTGCCCTCTGCCCACCGCCGTTCCTGTGCCAGGCCCGCCGGTCCCTGGCTGCTCCCGATGCAGCAGGTGGCACCTGTACAGACTCTCGCATGCACCCCGGCGTCAGCCACACCTCTTTCCGTGCCAATAAAAGTTAAGTGGAGCCCCTTCTCAGGTCACAGACCACACCAGTCACCTGCACACCTGTCATTCCAATACTCTAGAGGCTGACACAGGAGGATCACTGTGAATTTGAGGCCAGCCTGGGCTACATAGGGAGTTCAAGGCCAGCCTGGACTGCATAGCAATCCCCTATCTCAAAAAATAAAAAAATAATTTTAAAAAGCAGTAAATTAAAAAATAAAATAGAAACACTTCTCAGAAAGCTCATACAACATGTCAGTCACTTTGAAGTCCACTGTCAAAGTGTCCCTTGAAATTGTGGCCCACAAGAGTTGGTGTATCCTTCAGGAGCCGTGTACCGGGCCTCTCTCTCAATCCACGCCACCTTTGGAGTAACACTTGTGTCCCTGATCATTTTTTTTTTTTTTTTTTTTGGTCTTTTTCGTTTTTATCGGTACCGAGGATCGAACTCACGACTGGCTGCTTGCAAGGCAGGCGCTTATGCCGCTGAGCTAAATCCCCAGCCCCTAAAATATATTCTTTTTTTTTTTTTTCTTTTTCCTTTTTTATCGGTACCAGGGATTGAACTCACGACTGCCTGCTTGCAAGGCAGGTGCTTATGCCGCTGAGCTAAATCCCCAGCCCCGATCATTTTACCACTTATTCTGAGACAGGGAACCAGTTATCCCGCATGAGAAAAAAACAAGATCCTCATGTGTTTCTGTCGCATTTGTCCTGTGTGACAGAAGTTTGCTTTCTGAATTGTCCTGCTGCTGTGATCACGAGTGACTTGTGGGTTTTTGTTGGAAGTACATCGAATCCAGTTACATGTCATAGTGGCTCCTGGTGGCCCTCTTGAGTCCACAGTGCGGAGCTATCCTCAGTAAACCCTAAAAGTACTAAATTACACCCGCAGCCCTTTTAATTTTGAGCCAGGGTCTAAATGGTCTAGGTTGGGCTCCAATTTGAGATCCTCTTGTGTCAGCCTCCCAGTTGCTGGGATCACAGGCCTGCACCACCCTGACTAGGCCTGCCCCTCTAAACTAGCCTCACTGCCAGGGCCACCAGCCTCTCTGTCCAAAGCCATGGAGGCCCCTTAGTGGCTTCCCACAGACAGTCCGCTGGCCTCTTATGTCTCTCAGTGCCCTGTGCAGCAAGTCCTTGCTAGGGTTCCACAGAAAAGAGGCCACAGTCCCTCCTGCTCAAGCCCCCTCACCCCAGCACACAAGCACCCACCCCAGGAGGCGGGTTCAGGGGTGCTGCACCGCTCACCTGGCGGAAAGTATATTCCGCCACCTGCTCAAAGAGGCGCAACAGGGCAGGGTCCCCGCTGTCTCTGTAACCCATGAGGAAGGCGATCATGGCTTCACAATGCGGCCACCAGAGTTTCATGTCCCACTCGAGCTGAGGACACAGCAGAGCTGAGTGACCGGGTACCCTCCATGGGACGTGCAGCACAGTGGTCTTGCTGGCTCAGGCGCCTGGGTACCTCGGGGGTCTGGAAGGCCCCTCGGAATGGGACAGCGAACAGTGGGATCAGCGTTCCATGTGGCAGGGTCAAGCCCATGTCCCTCTAAAACCCGACTGGCAGCAGGGTGGCCCACCTGTGTAGGGCAGAGGCCATCAGCATCCTGGAAGTAAAAGAGGCCCCCGTGCTCAGGGTCCCATCCGGAGCGGAAGGGCAGCAGGAGAAACTTCTCAATCACATGGGCTCTCAGTTCAGGGTCACCTTTCCTGCTGGCGTGTTCAAGCAGGAACCAGCCAGCCTCCAGTGTATGACCTGGACAGGGGTCCATCAGAGGTGGCAGCTCCCAGCCTCAGCCCAGATGGCACCCAAGCCCCAGGCCCACTTTGCCCCTTACCTGGGTTCTGGTGTCGGCCCAGGCAGCCAGGTAGCTCCTGGCCATCCTCAGACACATTCTCCAGGACAGTTTGGCCATCCCTCTGTGGGGCAGGGTGGAGGTAGCTCTGTCCCTTTCTCAGGATTCAGGGTGGTGGCCTTAGTGCCCCAGGGCCTCTGGAGGGCCTGGATTAGACCCCATCTGGGCTCTGACTCCTCCATTCAGCCCCAACTCATCCCCCAGAGACCCAGAGGTGCCAACCCCAAACCTGGACGTGGCGCAGGATCCTCTGGGTGCACCAGTCCCCCAGCTCAGCGTATCTGTGCATCAGCGCCTCATCCTCGGCACCCAGCTGCGCTACGAGGCTCAGCAGCATCATGGGCACTGCCATAGGCTCAGCTGCCGGGGTCCCTGCCAGCAGCGGCCGGCCTAGCCCCGACGGGTCCTCCCGCACCCAGTGGACAATCTGCTCCATCATCTCTGTCGCTTCCCTCTGCGGGCACCACGGGGACAGGGACAGGGTTGTGGAGAGGGAGGAGGGGAGATTATATGGGGTGGAGGGGTGGCTGCATCTCCTGTGCCATCCCAGGATCCCATGGGGGCCCAGGACCCTTGCCCTGAGGTGGGAGCACTGTGTCCCCTGCACACCCCAAGGAGACTTCCTGGGGACCGCTTTGGCAGCTCCGACTCCTGGGTGCAGGGGAGAGGGGGCCCTGGTCCCAGTGTGGGCGTAAGCACCTGGTAGCGCACGTCTCCTGTCACCCCCCAGAGTGCGGCCATGGCCATGGCATAGAAGCACTCGCTGAAAACAGTGCGCTGTATCCGAATTGGGCGGCCATCCCGAGTCAGGACGAAGGCACACTTCTGCTCAGGAGGTGCCACCCGAGCATGGCGCAGCAGGAACTCGCCACCTGGTGGCCGGAGTGTGGGTGACCATGGGCTTGGGCTCAGTCCCCCTACCCACCCAGCCCCCAGATGGAGTGGGCATGGGGAAGGGGGAAGGGACACCTGCTTTTGCAGCTTCCAGAAGCTCTGGCCGGTGGAAGCGCTGGAACTTGCGGTACAGGTGACAGTACATCCACACCTGGGGGAGTGGGACTGCTGCAGGCAGACCTCTGGGTCGATGGGTGGGTGCAAGCCCACGGTGGCTGTAGGGGGCTGGGGCCAGGGGGCATGGGCCGGGGCGTCCCCTTACCTGCCTGCCCTGCAGCCACACGTACTTGAGGTCATCGTACACCCGGCCATCGCAGCCCAGGCATGTGAGGAAGCCCCTGTGGAAGCATGGGGTCAGTGAGGCAGGAAGGAGCCCGGGCTCAGAGGGCTGGGGACGGGTGGGTGGCGCACCCATGCTCCGGGTCGTGCGAGTGTGCAGTCCAAAAGGCCACTACACGGTCGAGCTCCTGCGCCACGAGCTCCTTCCAGGCCTGCAGAGCCTCCAGCTCCTTCTCCATGTCCTGTGGGGGCTCTGAGCTCAAGGCTGTGCTCGCTGTGGGCTTCCCGCCACCCAGGGACACCCTTGCCCCACCGCCCACCAGGCCCCCCAGGGACAGTGGCACCCCAATGGTGCCACCACTGGCCTGTTGCGCTTCGAGAACCCCGCTCATCACTCTCTTGCCTCCAGGAAGCCGGGCAGAGCCAGTCAAGGTCCCGTGACTGTCACTCAGCTGACCAAGCTGCGCCCCACCCCTCCACAGGCCGAGGGCCAGGGGGCGGGGTGAGGCTGGTGGGTGTCCCCTCCCAATGGGTGGTGACGCCTCCTGGAGGTTGTGGGGCCACAGCCTCTGAGCACAGTGTCCTCTGGCCACTTGAGCAGGCTGTGCTGACCCAAGGGCTGTGCCCAGGGGCTGTCCGCCTATTTTTACAGGCTACTCTCCTAGTCAGCGGGTTGCCTCCATGTGGGGCAATAGACTGGGCATCTGCGGAGGAGCCACCTCAGGACATGGCCCTGCCCGACCTGTTGCCCCCATGGCCCGTGGCAACTCTTGGACTCCATGGCTGCCCTCAGTGGTGCCCAGGGACAAGTGTGGCCTCACGGCCTACAGGGGCACCCACTGTCACACATGCCACCCCCTTGGCCAGCTGGGGGCAATGGCCCTTGCCATGGTCCAAAAGCCACAAGCCAATCAGACATCTCAGACCCAGACCCAGTGAGACGTCACCAGAGCCTGGTGGAGTGGGACTGGGGTGACCAGGGCTGTGGGCTGACTCTTGGTGCCCTGGTGTTCCTGCCTGGCCAAGGGTGGAAGCAGAGGCTGGGAAGTGGGGGCCCTGGCATGCCCCCGTCCCTTCTTATCAAGTGAGTGCAGCCACCAGGCCCCCTGTTCTATCTAGCGCCAAGGGCGGTCCCGCCCAGAAACCCTAGCTGCAGGCCTGGCCCTTGTCCCCAGGACCACTCTATGGGTCCCAGAGTGCCTGCTGCATGCCAGGGGACTGTGGAAGGGGAGTGGGGGCAGGGCTCATCTGTGACCCAGGTCCCCACATTCTCTTCAGAGGCCACAGGACACCCAACAGAGCAAGACACCTGTTTTCAAAAAAAGTCTTTAATTGTTCAAAATAGCACAAAACGACATCGCACTATGGTAATATTGAGTCACGGGTTACTCTACAATAGATGAACGGGTGGTACTGTTCTCAGAAACAAGAGAAATCCGGGCGCTCAGGAGGGTGGGCAGGACGAGGGGGCGGGTGGTGGGCTCCAAGGCGACTAAACGTGACAGTTTCCACAGTGAAATATACTATAATACAACGAACTGGCCAGGTGTGGCCGCAGGGCACCCCTCCTACCCTCGCAGAGATGGAGGGGCCACAGAGTCCCCGGCAAACCTTGCTCGATGCCCCCAGATGAGGCAGGCCAGGTTGATCCTGACAGGCCTGGGCTGGGGGTGGCTGGGCCTCACGGGGAAAGGGGTCAAGGACGAGGCTGACGGGACAGCACTGCGAGCCCATAGCTCCTCCCAGCAGGAAGTGGCCGCCCGGGGACAGGGTCCCCCAGGTCAGCTCCCAGGCCTCCTCCGCACCCCTCCAGCCCGAGCTGCCCCTGCTTTTCCTCTACAAAATCCCTGCCAAGGGTTAGCCAGGAGAAAAGAAGTTAAAAAACGGGGAAAAGAAAGATACATTCTGTACACAGCTAACAACAACAAAAAAGGGCCAAGGCCCCACACACTAAGGCTAAAATTACAATAAAAATGTTAACTTCATCAATTTCAACTTAAAAAAATACAACAAATGCAGCAGTTGGTGACGTGACCCCGGAGTCCAGCTGGGAGGGCTGGCGGGGCCACTGCGTCCGCGGTCAGGGGAGGCCACGCTCGGCCCGGGCGCCACGGCGGAGGAGAGGAGGGCGCTGCCGGCCCGGGCGGGCGGGGACGGGAGAGCGGGCGGCAGGGCCGCCAGGGAGGGAGCGTGCACGGCCTCCAAGGTGGGCACGGGCGGCTGGGCGGTGGGAGAGCGGGCAGCGGGCGGGCGGGCTCCAGGCAGCCATGTGCTTGCGGAGCAGAGCAGAGCGGAGCGGAGCGGAGGGGCGGCGGGCCTGAAGCGCAGGCCGGGGTTTCGGTGCGGCCAGTGTCTTCACTGGCCGTCCGCCTTCGACTTCTTTGGAGCAGATTTCCTGGGGCGCCGAGGGCAGGGACAGTAAGGTGGGGACGGGCGAGTGCCCGGCTGCCTGGAAACCCCCCCCCCCCGCCCCGGGCTGGCCACCTACATTTCCGGGGAGGACATGGGCCGCTTGCTGGCCGGCTTGCTGCCTGAGCTGTCCTTGCTGGTCTCTGGAAGGGACGGAGACAGGGTGAGCAGCCACGGGCCGGGCAGGGCAGGGCAGGGCAGGGCAGGGCAGGGCAGGGCAGGGCAGGGCAGGGCAGGGCAGGGCGCCTCACCTTGCAGCCACCGGACCTGGGTGGCCGGCCCGTAGCCCTTCTCATTGCGCGCGGCGATGCGGAAGATGATGGCGGGCTTAGTGGTATAGTCGATGTGCGCGTTGGACAGGCTGGAGGACTGCACCAGGCACGACGGGCTGGGCCCGCAGTACACGCGCATGAAGGCCAGCTGCGCTGGCGCTGCGCCCTTGGGCTCGCCCCCCGCCTGCGAGCTCTGGATGGCCAGGTACACGGAGTACTCGATGATCTTGCCCGAGGTCACGGAGGGTGGCTCCCAGGTGAGGTGCGCACCGTCAGGGCTCTGCGGGCCGGGATGGCGGGGCTTAGGGTTGGGGGGGAGCGGAGGGAGAGGGGGAGGAAGAGGGGGAGGGGGGCTGCCTCTGCCCACCCTCCACCCACCCTCCGCCCGCACCCATCACCTTGCTGATCTTTTTTTCTTTTTTTTTTGTCCTTTTCGTTTTTATCGGTACCGGGGATGGAACTCACAACCGCCTGCTTGCAAGGCAGGCGCTTATGCCGCTGAGCTCAATCCCCATCCCCTCACCTTGCTGATCTTAATGGCGCAGGGGGCGCCGGGGAAGCCTGGCAGGCACGTTTTGAAAGCGGAGATCTCACTGAAGGGCCCTCGGCCACAGGCGTTGATGCCGGCCACTCGGAACTTATAGGCTGTGCCTGGCTGGAGCTCCTGCTTCTTCAGCTGGGTGTAGTCTGGGACAGTGCCCGAGTCGTCCTGGGGACAGGCGCAAGGGCCAGGGCCGTGGTGAGGCAGGGCCAGGGCCGTGGTGAGGCAGGGCCAGGGAGCCCAGGCCGCACCCGCCCCAGAGGGAGCAGGGGCCCAAGGACACTCACGTCCGTAGGGACAGCGTCATCTGGCGGCAGGAAATAGTGTGTCACCATCACGTTGGTGCCTTTGATGACCCCCACATCAAACCACTGGTTCTCCTTCTTCACGGGGGCCTTGCTGGGAGGCGGCGGCAGGTCTGCTTTCTGCCAACCAACCGGAAATGGAGCCGTCAGGCAGGTGCTCGGCCCTCGGGGCAGAGAGGCCACGCTGCACCCCTCGAGCCAAAGCCCCGACTCACCACACCCAGAGATTCAATGCCGTTGGCCACTTCGGTCAGCGTAGCCGCAGCTTGCAACTTGGCGGGGCTGGCAACCACCACCGGCTGGGGAGCCACAAACGTGCTGGACGGGGCCAGGCCTGAGGACACCGGGAGGGGCTGGGCTCAGGACGAGGTGTGCCCGTGCCCGGCCGTGCCCCGGGCCCCAGGGCGAACCCGGCTTACTCTCGGTGGCCGTGGGCGGCAACAGGGCCACAGTGTTGGGGACGGCGCCGGCCAGCTCGTTGAGGCAGTTGCCCTCGATAGCCGGGTCATTGAGGCTGTCGGCCGGGGCCAGCGCCTCGGTGGGGAGGTGATGCTGCTGCTGGGCCTGCGCCTGTGCCTCCTGCAGCTGCTGCTGCTGGACCAGGGCTGCCAGCTCCTGCTGCGTCAGCACGATGGGGATGGTGGTGGCCTGGCCCTCCTGGCCCTCGGCAGAAAGGTGACCCAGTTCTGCCTGGGTCACGGCCGCTGCTGCCTCGGATGTGTCCATGGGCTCCCCGGTGCCTGCTCCAGGGCCAAGGAAAACACTACTCAAGAGAAGCCCTGGCCCGCCTGGCCACGGGGACAGAGACTGTGGCCCTGACAGCTGGCATTCCATCCTGTCCCCACCCCCTAGTTCTACCTGGGCCACTGCCCGCCCACAGCCCACAAGGTCATTCATGTGGAAAGCAGGCCTTTTCTCTCCCCCGGGCTGCCACCTCTGTCACCACCCACTGCGGCACCTACCCATGACAGCCTGCTGCGCGGCCTGCAGCACGGCCTGGATGGCCAGGGCCTGCGCCTCCTCGGTGGCTGCAGCCTGAGCGGCTGCCTCAGCAGCAGCAGTCACAGCCAGCTCCTCAGGCGTGAGGCCTGTGACCATCAGGGTGGTGGTGCCCGCCTGGGCCTCGGCCATGAGCTCCTGGGGAAGTGACAACTGCTCTACCTCGGACTGCGTGGGCTGGGGTGGCTGGACCACCACAGTGGCCACCACTGCAGAGCTGGGGGGCTCCTGGCCCGAAGATGGGTCACCCGTGCTGCTCAGGTCCACAGCGGCCTGCAGCTCTGCAGGCTGGGCGGCGGCCAGGACCTCGGCTGGCTCCCCCATGAGGGGCGCAGGAGCCGTCTGCAGGAGCTGCCGAGGTGGCAGCTGCTGGCGAGGCCCGGGGGAGACCTGGAGCTCCTCAGGGGGCTGTGGGTGGCAATGGCAGAGAACACATCAGGAGGGCCCTCGTGCCTGAGGGCAGTGATAAGCACGTCCCCCAGGGGGCCTGCTCCCCCAGCCCAGAAAAAGCAGCCGTCTGTGCCTGTCCTGCGGGATTGCTCACCATGGGCCATCCCAACACCATGCCAGACTGGAGAGACAACTGCAGGTCACACCCACAGCAAGGGGCTAGGTAGGCACCGACGCCCGCCAGTAACACATGCAAGCCCCTTGGATCTAACTGTTTTCAGAGGGGCTGGGGGACTGGCTCCAAGGGCAAGCAGAAGCCCCAGGGGAGTGACACGGAGCCCAGGCCACCATGGGGACAGTGCCCCTTGAGGGCAGTTGAAAACCACTGACTCCCTTCCCTCCACGGCGGCCATTCAGGATCCAGAAAAGTGACCAGGCGCCACGCCCAGCATGCCCCAAGAGCAACACCCAGGGCTCTTACCGGCACCGAGGGGCCCGGGACTGGCGTGGACTGG